ACGTTTCTGTGGTCATGTGGCCGGCGTGACTAAGCACCAAGGTGCACGGAACGCTGTTACCTTCCCACTGAAGTGGTACCTATATCTACTTGCAATTTCTTGCTTTCGAACTGCTAGGTTGGCAGGAGCTGGAACCAGAGACGGGAGCTCACTCCGTCATGCGGCACACTTGGGTCTCTAACTGCTGAACTACTTCCCTTCCACAGCCTGCCGTTCAGCGTCTTAACCACTTGAGCCACTGCAGCTCCTTTCTTAGTCTGTAGTCAGTCCTTATTTTACTAAGATAGCTCTTTGTGGCTTCCACTGCTGCTTCTTTCTGTCCAATTTACGTATTTATAATGACACTATGACAGAATGTGTATTTTTGGTGTATATTTTACCCTTCAGGGGAATGGCCAGACTTGTTTTCTTTCTTTCTGGGACAGACCTAACATGCCCCATGCTTGTAGTCTCAGTTCTGCATTTTCTCAGAACACACGGCCCATCCTAGTGGGTCGGTAGAAGCTGTTGCACTATGTCTTGAGTGCATAGTTGTTCAATGCCACTTTATGTGCCATGGCTGTCTTCAAAAGAGTCCCATGTTTTCTATTACTTTTGAGTCAATGCAATAAAAGTACTTGATGATGACTTTCCGCTCCCAGACTCCTGTTTATTTAAAACCTATAACACTGCCCCTGCAATATGTTGCAACACTGCCCCTGCACTTGAGCTATTTATTTATTTCAAGCACATCCTGCCTTTCTCAAAGTGGCTTACCTCATTCTCCTCTCTTCCATTTTATCATCACAACAACCCCGTGAGGTAGGGTAGGCTAAGAGTGTACGACTGGCCCAAGCTCACCCAACAAGAGTGGGGATTTGCACCTGGGTCTCTTAGATCTCTAACGGCTGCACTCTCTGTACTGTTACTTTATGAGCTAGAATATTGATACCCTGCAGTCAATTCCCACAGCCCTGTGATTTCTTGAGTTTGAATGGAGGTCTCCCATTCATCTTTACATGCAGGATGGAGCTCTGTACGCACAAAGGGATGTCTGCCCACAGATACCTCTTCCATTCAAGTAAAGCAGGAGCTGCAGTGGTATCGGTCAGGGCTCTTTTTGTAGAAAAAGCCCAGCAGGAACTCATTAGCATAACAGGCCACACCCAACAGCAAAACCCATTAGCATATTAGGCCACACCCTAACAGTGCAGTTCATTAGCACATTAGGCCACACCGCCATGTTACCAGAAGTGTGGTCATCCAGCCACACTCACCTTTCCCTTCTTATTCTGTTTACCTTGTTTGTTGTCAAAACTCAGGGCCTTTTTTTGTAGCAGGAACTCCTTTGCGTGTTAGGCCACACACCCCTAATGTAGCCAATCCTAATGCGTTTCTGCTGTTGGGTGTGGCCTATTATGCTAATGAGTTCCTGCTGGGCGTGGCCAACTCGGGAGCCAGCCGGAACTCCGTTCCTGTGCGTTCCTGCCCAAAAAGAGCCCTGGATGGTGTACATGAGGGCATTAATATCCTCCTAAACCATTGCATGGTTTTAGAAGCGGGAGCTAACGGCTGAAACTTGCAGCGCATTGCAAAAGAGGGAAGATGCTATGGTTATCCCAGTTTTCAAATATGGCAATGGCTGGCCCAGAAAGGGTGGATTTGTCTAAGGAAGTTTGCAATGTACCTTGTGAATGTTTTGAGTTGGGGTTGAAAAAGGCTTGCCTGATCTCATCAGATCTGAGAAGCTAGGCAGAGTCAGCCCTGGCTAGTAAATATATGGGAGACTTCCAGAGAAGACCAGGGTTGTGACGCAGAGGCAGGCAGTGGCAAACCATCTTTGAACTTCTCTTGCCTCGAAAAACCTATGCAGTTGCCATAAGCCGGCTGTGACTCGTCAGCACTTTCCACCTCCAAAAAAGTGGAAGGCAACAAGTTTTAAACTGATTTCCCCCCCATGTAGGGTTCCCCCCCATTTAACAAACACAAAGAGTTGCCCATCCCCCACCCCCAGTGGGCAACTCAGCTGTGTGCCAGGGGGGAAAATGTGCCAAAATAGGGTGAGGAACATCAACATCACCTAGAAATGATGCGTGCCCAGCAGTGATATCAGCGCTTTGCTGGGGGCTGTTGGCATTTGGGGGCATTTGGGGGAAGCTCTGTGGTTCAGCCATATGTACGCAGGTGGAAACTGGAAGGGACGGAGTGGATCGCTGGTGAGGACCCCCCAGTAAGTTCCTCCCTTGCCCCCTCACTGATTTCCATTTTTTAAGTTGTCAAAATCTTCTCCATGGCCATTGTAATATCTAGTTTGGCCCCAAGAGAGTGAGAGTGAACAGTCACTCTCTAAACATGATTGGGATCTTGGGGAAGGGCACAACAGATGCAACTTTGGAAGAGAATTCAACCCATTCCTTCTGCAACATTACACCAGATGGGGAAAAACAGGAACTATAACTCACTGGTGCTTCTTGTTCTCCCTCATTCAGGTAACAGCAGTCTCAGTTATTTTCCCATTGTTACCTCTATGCAAACCTGGAATCCAGATATCTCTCCTTATATATAATTGTGTTTTGGGGTGGCACTTCATGAACATTCCACACACTCCTAAATTAGTTGGCTCCATGATGTGTCACTCAGAAGCTGTCCCTATCCACTGGCTGTGTTGCCTGAGTCTCACCTCCAATACTCTAAACAGTTTGCTGTTCCTCTCCCCCCCATAGCCAGTCAGAACACAGAGGTCATTTGCATATGCAGCCTGATTGGCCTTTGCCTCTAAGATTCTAAACAGTCTGCTGTTGCTGTTGAGAGTCATTGAATGTGTCCTGAGGTAAAACACATATCCCAATTGTCCCTTAAATGATCACTGGGGTTGCCAAAATACATATCCCAATCTTCCCTTAAATGGTCACTGGAGTTGCCAGTCTCCCTATGGGGCCTGGAGATCTCCCAAAAATCACTGTGTCCCCCAGCCACAGCACATCATTTCCCCTACAGAAAATTTCCCAGCTATTACAATGGCTGCTTTGGGCAGTGGACTCTATGGCATTATACCCTGCTGAAGTCCCTCCGCACCCCAAACCCTGCCCTCCCCAGGCTCTACCCCTCAAATCTACAGGTCTGACCCTCCCCTTAGTATTGCCAGCCTCCAGGCAGAACCTGGAGATCTCCAAGATCAGTTCTCCTGGAGAAAATGGCTGCTTTGGGCAGTGGACTCTATGGCATTATACCCTGCTGAGGTCCCGCCGCACCCCAAACCCTGCCCTCCCCAGGCTCTACCCCTCAAATCTACAAGTATTTCCCAACCTAGAGTTGGCAACCCTGTAACTGGCTATGGAACGGCTTTCCAGACCCTTGGAACCCAGAAGACATGGCATAGGAGGAGGGGCTTTTCTACCTTAGCTGCCACTGCATAACCCCAAACCAACGTAAGTCAGGGGTGGAGGGAACCATACCTGTTACCATGAGGCTGTCCTCCCATACTACCCACTTGGGGCAGCAAAATGACTTGAGAAAGCCGTGCCCTATAGCTAAGCAGAAGGAAATAAACATGGCTTGCCTCCCTCTATTTCCCCCTTCCCTTTGCCACCCCACTAGCCACAGCTGGGACACTCACCTGGAGCTTCCTTCTAGAACTTGTTGTATTTCTTCGCACAACGGGCCTTACTCCTCATCCTAGAATAATGGAAACCAGCCAAAGGATAGGACTTACTCTGAATTTCAGGGTACTTTATCATCAGCAACAGGCCCCAACGCAAGGTAGTCGAAGTTGTCTCCATGCCAGCGCCAAATAAGTTTTCCACCATAGTTTTTAGGTTTTCATTATGGAAAAATCTGTTGCTCTGGTTCTTGTTCTTTTCCTAGGCAATAAGAAAAAAGGAAGCGTTCTTTTCCTTTTCTTTGTCCAATTAAAACTTTATGGCTCAATGCCTTGAGCAGTATAACAATCTGAAATTTCATTTGCAATCTCTATTTATTTCTCAAGAGACAAAAGGAATACATTTTTATTTTTAATTTTTCATGTCTATACATTAAAATAAAATAGAACAATACGATCAGTCTTTGATAACACAGATCAACGATAATAAACAGTTGTGAAGAAGAAGGTTTTCAAGCACAACAATACTGACAATTAATGTAACTTTTGACTATATTCTGTTTAAGACACTACTGATTCATGGTGGACATAGGCGAATATTTTAAAAAGTGCTAAAAAGCTATCCAAGGGTGGAATGACTGAATCAGGATCCTTATTGTCAGACATAAAATCCAAGAAAGGTAGCCAAGATTCCAAAAATCTAGATCGATAAAGTGGATTTTCTGAGCATAATAGTTGGTCTGATAATTTTTTCCCCTTATGAAAAAGTCCCATTTTAAAAATATAATTGGTTAATTGATGGGAGTTCTTTATTTTTCCACTTCGCAGCTATTAAGGTTTTGGCTGCTGCTAAGAAAATAAAAATCAAGTCCTTCCTTATATTCGGAATATCTTTATCCTCCCGCAAATTCAATAGGATCACTTCAGGGCGATTGGCCACAGAGTATCCAGGTATGTGTTCAATCTGAGTTAATTTTTTGTTCCCAAAAAAATGTTAAGATTTTACAATGCCTCCCAAACCCAATGAAACACACAAATACTGAACTAACACAGACAACTAAAGAAACCTTATCCGATCCAATCCAAAACAACAATCTACCCCCACTCTCCCAGCAACCAGAAGGAACTATCTACTAAAAAAAGGAGTTAACTTTTTTTAAAAAACCCAACCTTCTCAACAACAATGCAACAACTAACACAAACCAGAACCTACAATGAGGCACACTATTGCAAGAAGTAACACAAACCAGAACTTACAACAAGGCACACTATTGATTTTGAACACCAACCCACAACCCACCAGCTCCCCCCTGAGGAACCCAAAAGGAATAAAATAACCGACAATAGAACTTTTTAAAACATGAAAGCAAACTTTTAAAACACTTAAATTGTAATGTTAAGCAAAGTTAAGTGGAACTGAGCAAAGCCAATCCCACCCAACATCCAACAGAACCAGACAATGCAATCCACCCACCCAACACAGGATACGTAAAGGAAGACTTTAAAAACCCTTTTAAATTCTCTCTCTCTCCATCTCCAAACCAGCTGCTGTCTTCAGTACAGTCAGGCAGGAGTCCACCATAGTCCAGCAGGGAAGAGAAAGGCAGGCCAGGCACAGAGCAGCAGCAGCAGCAGCTGAAGCCAAGACAAGGCCAGCAGCTACACAGCCTCTCCAGCCAAGTAGCCAGCCAGCCAGCAATGGAGTCTAGCCAGTAGGCAGGACTCCTACTTAAATGTTCTCTGCCCATGCACAGAACAGTATTTTTTAAAAAAAGAACACTGTCCTATGATTGGACAAAGAGCAGTGCAACTTGCAACCCTGTTGGCAGAATTGCAAGTTCTCCCTCCCCCTTCCCAAGCAAGGTAGGTGGTGCTGTGCTGGGGTGGACCAGCAGTAAGTTACACCAGCCTTGCAAAGCGCTGCACCATCAGGGGTCATTTCCTGCAGGAGCGCACAGGAGCGGAGCTCCGGCAGTAAAGAGCCCAGGGGGCGGGCACATGCAACAAGCCCCACCCCCTGCTCCCAGCAGCCCTCAGTCAGAGCAAAAAGCAGCCAGGTAAGCTGCAGAGCCCCCCGGTTCAAAACAATCCAGTGGCACCTTTAAGACCAAGTTTTATTCAGGTACAAGCTCTCCCTTCTCTGCAAGGAAATATCTGCACGTTCCCCCCCCCCAATAGCTAGCAATCCAAAACAGTCCAGTAGCGCCTGAGCGGTGGGTGTTGCCTTCTGACACACTTCCGGTGATTTCAGGGGGTGTGGCATATGCAAATAAGTTACACTAATGAGCTCCTGCACCTCTTTTTCTACTAAATGACCCCTGTGCACCATGCATCTGCAATTCGCAGCTGCATGGCACTGTAAGCTGCCCTCTTCCCCCTCCCCCCTTAGTTCAGGGAAGTCAGGGAAGAGGTGGGGAAAACCCTGAAGCGGTGGGAAAAGGAAAAGGCAGAAGGAGGTAAGGGAACATTTTGAACTTTAAACCCCCTTCCTGCTGTTTCCCGTTGTTCTTCGGGGTCCCCAATTAGCTGCTGAATAGTTCAGCAGCTAAATGGGGCTGCTGTATTCGGCATGCTGAATCTGATTAGAGAATCTGATTCAGCATTCGGGGAGCCCGAATACTGCCGATTAAGCAGTATTCGGGCTATTATTTGGCTCGGCCAAGCCGAATGCACATCCCGAGTCTCTAGCAAGCCTTGTTTCAACCAGCCCACATGCTTGCTAGAATGTAGGGTTGCCAACTTTTAGGTGGGGTTTCCCCCAGAATTACAACTGACTTCCAGAGATAATTTTCCCTGGAGGAAATGCCTGCTTTATGTTGGAAGTGAAGGACTTTGCACTGTCTCTTCGTCTCAGACTCTAGAGGGACAATGTAAACTCAATGTAACTCAAGATCTGTTAATCCCTCCCTTCCTACTATTCCGTTGCTGACACTTTGGTGTGTAGATTACCACTCTGAGGGAATTTTCCTTCCAGCTAAGACCTTCTCTGTGTGTCTCTGTCTCTGTCTCTCCCTCCATCCTAGTTTAGCTAGTTATTTTATCCCATCCAGAATGGAGTTCCTTACAACAAAGGACTCATATTAGTTTGAACGTGATTTACCGCACATAGCAAGTGTGAATTTGATTTACCCTGCAGTAGCCTCCACTGTACCATATGCACTCTGAATTTCTATAGCTTTGGAAGGCGTGCTGTATGGCATTCTACCCTTCTGAGGTCCTCCCCCTCCTCAAACCCCATAATCTCTCAGAATTCTGCAACTCAGTCCTTGCTACCCTACAGTGCCAGAGAGCCTAAAGGTAAAGGTAAAGGTTCCCTTGCTCGAAAGCCAGTCGAATCCGACTCTAGGGTTGCGGTGCTCATCTCCGTTTCCAAGCCGAAGAGTTAGCGCTGTCCAAAGACGTTTCTGTGGTCATGTGGCCGGCATGACTAAACACCAAGGCGCAAGGAATGCTGTTACCTTCCCACCGAAGTGGTACCTATTTATCTACTTGCAATTTCTTGCTTTCGAATTGCTAGGTTGGCAGGAGCTGGAACTAGAGACGGGAGCTCACTCCGTCATGCGGCACACGCGGAACTCGAACTGCTGAACTACTGACCTTCCACAGCCTGCAGTTCAGCGTCTTAACCACTTGAGCCACCACAGCTCCTGCCAGAGAGCCTACAGTGGTCTAAATTATATTGGAATTAGCAGCCCCGTAAGAGAGAGATTTTTACTGCCGACATCACCACCATTTTCCTTGCCTCAACCCCCCTCCCCACTATCCACTGGAATGGTTTTTTTAAATAAAAAATTGACAATTGATATTATGCTATAGTGGCCCTGGTAACATGGAGCATTTGCCCCGCTGAAGGCACGGGAGTCCTGCAGAGTATCCGGGCGCGATCATACGGGAACATCTCGTGCCGAACCCGTGGCAAGCCGCCGAAGCCGCGCAGTAAAAAACTAGCACACCGCATGCACTGTTCCCTCTAAGCTGAGTTAGTGTGAGCTAGCTCACAGTTTTTTAGTCTCTGGCTCACAGATTTTTGTCTTAGCTCAGGAAAGATAGCTCCAGAGCACACTGATTTATGCAGTAGCCAAATCGCTCGTTCACAACTTTAATGCCAGTAGCTCACAGAGTAGAATTTTTGCTCACAAGACTCCACAGCTTAGAGGGAACAGTGACCACATGTACTAGCAAACGCTTTGCCACGGGCCGCCTATGGAAGCCTCCCGGTGTGATCGCGCCGGCGCGCGGCTTCCTCCCCCGTTGTCCTCTTTGCTGCGGGGAAGCTGCCGTCACGTCTGATCGCATAATAGCTCATCAGAATGCGACGGCGCAAATAGCCGTGCTCCCCCCCTGCACGTTTTCCGGCACGTCTGGCCGGGGCCAGTACATAATAAGCTGTGGCCATTATCAGTTTTGCTCAGGCTTTCATTTTTTTAAAGTTAGTGTCGCCTTTTTTGTTGCAGAGACATAAGGGGAAAGACAACTGAGAAACTGGAGAAAGCAGAAGAATGTTTGTGCTGCATAGTTAATTTGTGAGGGGGTTCTTTTTAAAAAAAATCCCAGATAGTTTGATGGGCTGTGCTCCCCCTTCCGCCAAGATGGATTCCTCGCTAGCTGGCCTGGCATTCACATGCAAAGAGCCTTTAAATAAATGGGTGAGAATGTGATTATCAACAAGTTTACCTCTTCTTGTTGGATTAGGAAAGCATCAATAAAGCTCCTCTGGTCGTTCACGTCCAGTTCTTTGAGGTGTTCTGTGATGGTGTCCTCTATGAAGGCATACAGTTCATCCCTGTTCTTAAGGACAGTCTTGCGACCTCCAGAAAGAAAGCTCAGCGCAGGAAACACGTTGCACAGCTAAAAGAATAAAATATGAGAAAGGAAAAGATCAAGAAATCCCCAAATCCTACTGCTGAGGCCGAAATCTCAAAGGTGTTTTGAAAATCTCCCGTGAGGCAGTACCACCCAAACCCTCCTGCTGGTTTCCAAGCATTGCAGTGGTTAGGGTAGCCAGGCGGTGCACCCATTGGCACATTAGAAACAAAGATGTGGGGGGTGGCTTGCTGGCATTGCACGCACTATGACATCACTTCCAGGAAAAACCACAAGTGACATCACCCTGTGTGCGACATCGACATCTTTTAAAATCTTTCTCCCACTACTGTTTCAAGAAACAGCAAGCAACAAGGGCTGCCTGAGACCCTGGCAATACTCAAAGTGGTTCAGCTCTGAAAGGACTGCTCCATGTATTTTCCTAAACATTTCAAATAAGTTGCAAATTTCTCAGAACAAGTTTTGTCTCTGCTATGAAGTCCTGAGTTTGTGCAGGGGATCTTTAAAATATAGTCCTGCCTGTACTGTTTGTACAAGTATTTCAACCATTTTAAAACCACATTTTAAATAGTTTACCACGACTGAGGGACTTCCCCCGAGCCGGACGATTTCATTGAACAAGTTCAGTAATCTTATAAATTTGGGATCTTCGTATTCATATCGCTTGCGGAATAATACGGACACTATAATATTGGCAACAGCTGCATTCATGATTGTAGTAGTCTCAAATGGTTTTCCTAGAGAACAAATATTACAATGAAAACATGTTATGGAATCAATGTCAGTATCACTTGTGCCTCGTGCATTAGCTTGCATATGCTTGGCTAGCATTTATCATCCATTCTATGCTGACACAGACGGGACCACATCAAAGTACGGCTCAGGTATTTTTGGTGTCTCCCAAATGCAAAGATAAAAAGCCAACTCACTGTTGTGTACTGCCTCTTTAAGAGGCTATCCCAGTAGGCCCCAGAGCAAGCAGAAGAGTAGGAGGGACTCAATACTTCTCTTCTCAGGCCCCCTGCTGGCAGCCTGCAGGAAT